TTTACGATTCAAGTGCCGACCTAACGTAGAAAACATTACACGAACGTACATTTTTTAAAGTTAAATTTAAGTGGAATTTTATTTTTCTGAAGAAAAAGGTTTTTGTGCAATAAAATTTTAAACACTAGTGAGCGCATGATTCTTCGAAGGGAGAAAAAAAAAGGAAAAAAAAATTGGTAATATTTCTGAAAGGGGTGGGATTAGAAGAAAAAAAAACGTGTTAACTTAAAAAAACTTATTTCAAACAGCGAACTCATAAAAGTCGCAAAAAAAAGCCATGTTTTGCGAGTGTGCGATTTCACGTGGAATAACTCAAATACATACGATAATTTAAGAGTCAGTTGAGATTAAGTTACGGTGTATCAAGTCAATTTAAAATTTACAACTGACACACTATAACTAGAAAGTACGCACCTATCACTAGCGAAAGAAACTTCCCATCATTCTGATCCCTGTTTCTCACCTTTACCTGCTTCTCAATCATTTAACGAACTTCACCTACCCTAGCCACATCGCATTGACTATCCTCAACATCATACAGGAGGTCCATCAGTATGCTTTGAAGCTATTCCTACTCCTAACATTATCCACGCATTTTGGATTATGTGTACATTAACCAGCTCACTGGGGTAGTGGCCAGATCCGGACTTTCTGAACCATTTCTGAATTTACAAAAAACTGTTTCCTCTGGCCGACAAAATGTACAATACTGTGAGTTAGTCCTGTTTCCTCAATCCCCCTTGAAAAACATTTGCAAGTCTTTTAACACGGATTTCTCAAAATAAATTAAAAGCAACAAATTTTTTGTGAAATGAGAACAATTTTTGATTAATACTTTTACACTCTTGAAACTTTTTTTTAAAATTATGGTCTTTCATCAGACAAGAAACATTAATTTTTCAAAAAAAACATTCAAGGGTAGTGCAACCTTAAGCAAAAATTGCCTAGCCCGAAGTAGCTTCCAACAAGCTTTGTTTGTGTTATTATACATTTTTATAACAGTTTACTCTGATTTAGAGAACATTGGTTGGTTACTTCAGGTCTGCTGAGAGGAATGTTATTTGCTTCAGACTACTATACAGTATTTCTTTGCAAATAAACTCTAAAATCAGAAGAACATGCATCTTATCTCCATTGATTGCAACATATTCAAGTTAAACTGATTTTTTTAAATATTCACAATAAACCATTATGTATATCTCTTCACAATGTATTAAAAATTGCAAATGAAGGTTGCTTAAATAATTTATTTAACTATAAACAATTATAAACGTGTGGATTCACATGGCTGTAAATAGATTCAGTACAATACTCAAACTTCAATAAGAACATTTTTATTTGCCATACAAGAAAATTACTTTTAACAGCTTTTGAAGTGCTCAGGACAAATGCTTTATAAACACATATGTGAGCTCTGAACGCAGAAAAGGCACATCATTACTGACAACCATTAAAGAATTGGTGTTAAAGTAGATTTGAAGTAGGTGGGTAATAAGCACAATACTCATGCCCATAACTACTTCACGCATCAGTCTATAATGATGTTATCCACACATACACTGTTATAAAAAAAATACTCCAGTTCAAGATGAAACAAGAGCTTGATACTGTATTTGTGGCATGAGTTGTGACCAAAAAGATTCTAGACAACACATTATATATTTTTTTGAAGTCATAAGTTATCACAAAATACTGTATAAAGCTTATACATGAAGCCTGATTTACAACTACTTTCAGAAAATTAATATAAGGAAAGGTTGAGCTTTGCTACAACACAGTCGGGCTTCTAAAGCGATGAAATGTATCTAGGCACATATTCCAGTCAGTTCCATTAATATACCTATTAAGATATGAAAGTAGAAAATAGTAAACATCATATATCAACAGAATAAACCAAATACATGAATATTTTTCCCATTCTTCATCCCCATATGAAATTTTACATCATCTTACCCCATTTCAACATTAAGCGAACAAAAGATTTGCAAAAGATATTTGTATTAAAAAATGTTATATTTTTCTATTGAATTAATCTAAATATCTCAAGAAACTAATTACATGCTCAATGAAAAATTGTCTATATAATTTCCGCACCAATTACTGACATGAGAAGAGAATGACTCGCAAATTCAGGATGGATATATGCAATTCTAAATTAAACAAATGAACAAGGTACACAGCATAATGAAATGTGTCCTCTTATTTCTGGAAGGTACAAAAGAGGGAGAAAGTGATGAAAAATTAAAGATTAATAAAAATAAGCAGTGCATCCTCAGCAAATACACAGGAAATTAATATAGATTTAAAGTGCACTACAGTTAAAAACTGTGAGAGCAACATGGTTATATTCTAAATTAGTTCATAATAGATTTTACTAACACCAACACTAAACATCAAGAATCCGGAAATGTGTAAATTAACACTGCACATTTATTCCCCCCGAAGATAAACAAAACAATTAGCTTCCTCTTTTAAGATGAGGAAAGTCCAACTTACAAGTTCCACTTACACCTAAATAGAGTATCTAAAGAAAAATTCTCATTAATTTGTAAATATTCAAATTTGTTTTGAAAAGAATACAAGAAAAATAATTTAAAAAATCAGAAATACAAATTTTCACAACTTCTTCAGACTTACAAACTTCTGCATTAAGAGCAATAAGTAATCACTCTTCAGTATTCAAAAAAAAAAAGAACCACCCAGGATTTCAACCTTAATACTTAGATCATAAACAAACCTTGAGTACACCATATTTTCAAAATCAATGTCTTTGTTTAAAGCTTAGGAATATTAATATTAATTTACAAGGTATTTAATAACAAGTCTTATTTTATTAGTTATTGCAATAATACAAGGTTGACATTTTTCATTATGTATTTCCATATTGTTAATCACAAATCAACAAGTACCGAATTATACAATTTAATGTCTTAATAAACAATCATTCAAGAGAAAGTAATACAAAAAAAAACTGCCACTGGAATGTTTTTGATCACATCTCAATGAAAGATTAATTCCATTAACTTAAAAATAAATACCAGAAGGTATAATTCTACCCAAGGATAATATAAATAACTATATTTCAACATTTCTAGGCAATTAATCAATCAAAATGTTTAAATCGTTTAACAGCTGAGACCATCAATAATATTTCAAAACACAAAAATCAATTATGCAAAAGTTTTTATAAGTTATACCATACAATTTTCTGTACAAAATAATGTACAACTGGTGTATCTTGAAAATAAAGCTGAAAAAGTTGCATTACTAAAGACGTAAAACTTAACAACATTGAATATAACCGAATTAGAATTAATTTCAACAAATGAGTAACTAAGAATTAACTGAGAATTCAAAGACATTTACTTAACAAATTACAGATAGTATGTCCTTTGCATTTATCACTTTTCACAGGAAATTGGGTGAGAGCCCATTTCAATATTTGTACCAATATTTTATAATAAATAAATAAATTCAAAAGTATTAACTTTCTAACTTCCACCAACTTGAGACGCGTAGGTTTTTGTCAAAAAAAGAAACAACAAAACACACACACACACACAGACACTAAGAGAAAAATTCTGGTTTCATTAATCAACTAAAATTAGAATAGAATGGACATTTTGATACAATCATAAAGATTGACATATGATGAAGAATAAAGTCCTATAATAAACGTTCGTATGAAAATGCGTTTCTATTTTTGTTTTAACTGTATCAATGTGTCCGACACAGGTTTTGTAAGAGTTGCCACAAGTAAAATAAAATACCTCTCATGTCAATACTACACTTACGTGTACATCATAGATTATAAAACATTCCCATAAGCCACATCACACAAATCTATAATACAATATGGAAACAAAACAATTTGCAATAGAAATTAAACACTAGTGGTTTGTTCTATCAAATAAAATAAGCATACAATGTAAAATATTTTTTCAACAATAGGAACAAAACATCAAACATTACATACTGTTCAATAATATCAAAATTTCAATACTGTGATAAAATTTGCCCTCAGAAACTTGCAAGGAAGATTTCAAATTGTGAAGATTAAATTTATTTTCATTGAATTGTTCACATTAATTACTTTCTAGTTAACTCATACTAAGAATATTATAAAAGAAATTTTCAATTGCAGATGTATCACACTCTTTCAAGAACTGACTCAAAGCCAATTGTTTTTAGATTTTCAAAGGTATTCAACAAAAAATATATACCCTTCCCCAAAAAACAACAATTTTACAAGCTTATCCAGACTAATGCACAAACAGTTTTAAACTCATTACGGCTAACTTAATATTCAACATTCCTCGACTGACATCAAAACATCACAGAAAATACACACAACTACATCACCAAGTTTGTAAATTATATGTGAAGGAATTGCAATATATTTTCTGTTAACTGCACAAAATTATTGATAACACAACCATTTTTTAAATGACTAGTGGACATGCGTTGCAAATTTGAGCAGGAGCATCAGGAAGGATGGTCATTAAAAACTTATTTGAAGTAGTACGTAGTACTTTACAATAGTGTTCTTTCATATCTTATTTACAGGAAATAATACATATGTACAAGACAATATACGAATCTCTGCCACAATTCCTTTACTCAGAAGAAATCAGTAAGACACAGCAGGCATCCACTCAAACATGATGCAGTATAATAGGAAAATCAACGTGAAGGCGTGGAAATTTATAAGCAACTTCACCCTGAAACAATATACATATTATTGCACTCTTACCTTATAATCCAATTTTTGGAGATGTGTGTACATGTGACTTATTTATCACTGTCTTATGTTTGTTCAATAATCTCCAGATAAATAATTCAATATTATGAACTTTGTGACGCTGCTAACTAAGTACATTATACGAGAGTTCAATGCAAGGTAGTAACCAAATTACACACACAATACTAGTAAATGCAACAGTAATCAACACTGTTTCTATCAGCCCTTTATTAACATTTTCATACTATAAAATACTGCCTTTCAATGTTGATTAGATGTTATGAATTAATTAATATTGTCCACCATAAACCATTTGAGAAAAAGAATTCTAATAACTAATGAAATCATACTCGCCGAATCATTCCTTTCATTACCAAATACAATGATGTTTTAACTTTCAATGAATTCTTCAAACTATATGGGCAACATTATGCATACGGCTCAATAGATTAATGTCTCAACAAATGACCCTAAGAAGAGTAGGAGTTAATGTAGAGTCCACAATAGGTGACCTCAAACAGTGATACTTGTGATAAGGTTGAGATTAACTGCCATGCAGGATCACGCATGGAGTGAACTCTTGGGCCACAATGAATTGAAATCCTGATATCAAAATGAAAAATTAAATACCTTTCAGCTATGCCTGGCTAAGTGGTATTTTATACATATGTTTATAAAACACTGTTCTTGATAACATTAGTTTAAAAATAATCATTCCAGCTGTAGATTCGACAATTAAACACAAACTAATACACATAATGTGCTTCCAATTAATAACAAACCTGTGGAATAAGGTTGTGCAAAATTCTTTTCATGGTAGCTTTACAACCCTTTTTAGATGGTGGGACTTCCACATAGAATTCGTGTGCTAGGTCACCATCTTCATCTATGTACATAGACCTGTACAAACAATATTATTATGTTTGAATGAAGTAGTGCAAATAAAAAATACACTACAAATCTGATACATCACACACTAACAGAAATACTGACAAACTGGACGATGACAGTAAAGGATAAAAATTCAATTATTTTTTAACAATTACGGAGGGCCAACAAATAGTAAATTCGTACGATTTCTCGTGCATAATATATTAACTATAACTCGACAGATTATATTAACCCGTAATCGAAATAATACACAGCAATGAAATTCTGAAAACTGACACTGTAATCGTCCAAGAATTGTCAACTTCAACATGCGTATTATAGTTGCAACACTAACCCTTTCCTCGACAAAACAAATACAGAACTCGGCGATGATACCACGCTCGCTGATTGATCTTCAGCACATTCTTCGGAAGAATTGCAAGATGATCCAGCTTTCTTCGTGTATTTCGAACTATTAGAACCCATCGAAAAAATGTTATGGTTCAACCAAATCACGAAAACTACATTTTCATACCAAGCAAACGTTAATCTATACTCTGCACACGCACATCCACAGTACTCAGAATATCCTTAACCAGATTGCCACCATCTCCAAGTTAATTATTGCGAGAACTAAATGTACTTTCATCAAAGTCTGATGAGAATGAAATGTGAACACGACTTTCCTCGATTTCCGTCGCTATGTGTTCCTAATGTTTCAATATCAATAGTTGCATTTTTTTGTTGAGATGTGCCAAAGAATTTGCACAAACAGTCACAGGCCGCAGACTGCACTCTCCTGTATTTCTCATCATGTAGCAATGAAATTCGCGCCATCGGTGACCCAAGGACTTTACCTAGTATTATTCATGGGAATGGCACAATTCTAATTCGTACTATTACAGGCCATATAAAGACAAAGCAATCTACACAAATAAAATGAAAATTTTAGATTAAATCAATGTTTATATACGCAAGCAAAGAAAACTAAAATATCTCCGAAAAATTGCGAATAAGTACTGATCTTACAACTTCTAGTAGATATTTACGGGTCTAAAAACGCAAAAGATAATTGAAAATCAAAGTGGGAGCATATGTTAGTAACTTTAGTAACCGAACGTTCATTCAGGATACTTATTTTAATTATGGAAAGAAACAATGGGTAGTCTAAAACAGTGGCGTGGTAGATCTAGAGGAGAGAGCATGGGGGCCATGTCCCCCTAAAAGGCTGGAGTTGTCATCTACTTTCATTTATTTGATACAATTGATTTAAATATTAATTTAGGTCAGAATTATGAAATTATTTACACAATAATATTGTATACTATCTTATCAACAGTACATAAATAATATACAATGTCATAACAAATATGTTTGTTATTTAACAAAAATTTACGGTGACCGCCTCCGAAAAGATCGGCTGGATCCGCCCCTGCCATGAAGTCTTGGCGAAGAATCACCTACATAGCCAATCAAATCACTTTCCAGATGCGTACTGTGAAACCATATGTAACAAAGAATTAAAGTAACGCAAACTTCTCTACAATTTCAAGAAGTCTGGTGGATTCCCCCAGTCGTATTTGGCTACCAGACCACGTGCCCTCACTAGGCCGCGCCGGCGACGAAGTATAGACTCAGATCGCAGATCGAGCGCACAGAGCTGCGAGGTCTTCAGATGGTGCCTACAGTGTAGGCCCTCCACACAGAGCCAGGCGACTTTACTAGGAAAAAATATTTTCATGCAAATACATGTTTTTGCAGGTACCAAGATATCAACATTGAATAATATTTTTAAGAGTTTGCAAGAGATTTTGAAATATTTAAAGTAATTTTCAATTTACTTATTGTGGTGTAGTAATATATTTTGCCTAGTATATTTCGTTACTTTTCGATATATTTCTAGGTCGAAACGAAATATATCAGGTATGAGTTTACCAAATAAATGTCACGGAATAGTCGATTTTGAAATATAGCAAATATTGCTCTCGTATAATCTCCGGACCTTCACTGTGAATGTCAAGCTTACCCTTTGCTTCTCGGAAATTGGCACACGGAATCAAAGATACGCTTATATCTACGAAGCAAAAGTAATTGCACTCGCGTTCTCTCTTACTTCTTCTAGAACTTCATAGTGAACTCGATCGAAATCTGACAAACATTCTTTATTGGACATTGTCTATTCGTGCTTCCATTACCCCACTAAGAAATATATATTCTTGCGATAGGGAAACAGTATTCGGAACTTATTCATAGAAACCCATCATCTCGGGCTTAATACTCCTTTAGAATGCGAAATACGCCTTTGGGATATGATGCGACTAATATGTGGCACTTGTTTTCAATAAATTGAGTTCAACAAGGAAGTTCGAAATTAAAAAAAATATTTAACTGACCAGCCGAACAACAAATTAAAAGTTTTGTGAAACTGTTATTCAATAGTTTTTGGATTATGAGATAATTCACGTTAAAATATGAAATTGGAACTCGCACGCTTCTTGTTGTGACGTCATAACTCTGCTTGAGTTTGCCCTGAAGAAACCTGCCTGATTGGTTTGACTTCCTGACACGATTTCTTTAACATTTTTTGTAACTCTCATTTCATGTTAAGTAGCATCATCGTTATCTTTGCATTGCTTCTTGCTAGACATACAATGCCTCTGTTTCTCATTCTGCGATCAAATTAAATGACCAGCCTCATCAGTGGGAAATCTTGATGATTAACTACATACTTTCCCGTCCCGACTATTGCATTGTGCCAGGAGACTTCTTTGTCTAACGACTCTTCCTCCTTCCTTCTGTACACAAACTCTGTGTACATTAGCTGCAGGGCGGGCGATATGATACATGGTATGCAAATTTTTGTTTTTTTTTTATTCATAATTCGAATTGATTGCTCAGTCCAGTCCATTAGTCCGAAAATCTACTCGGATACAGGCACCACCAAACTACTTATGGCCGATATTGTATTCCTGGAGTTTAGTGCGGACATCAGGGCAAGTCTCACTCTTCTGTAATACTACTTAAGAATTCTCCTTTACATTGCCTTGTTCGATGTTCTCACATGCCCAGATATCTGGACGTTTCACCTGGCTCAGGATCTTGAATCACGTATGAAAGTTAACACCAATTCTGTCTGACGTTGTATTGCATCTGTGAAGTGATGCCAAAGCCGCCATTATGAGCTCTGCCGGCCCACACGGACAGCACGGCGCCATGAACGTAGTCATGGCGAACGCTGCTACGAGCGTCAGCAGAACGAAGTCCACCGCCTTAAAGCCTGCTTTACACGGTCATTTCTGCATCATTTCTCGTCGGTACAGACAAGTTACGAACCAAACTGGATGCAATTTGTACGAAAAAATGAAGCCTGCTCCATTTTTTCGTACAAATTGCATCCAGTTTGACTATGGTGCTCCTGGTGTTACTCCATGGAACTTTCTTCGATTCCGATTTTCTTCGATTCCGAATTTCTTCGATTTCCCCCCGGAAAGTTGATCGAACGTTAGAGCGCTTTGTGCTGTTTTGGTTGTGATTTCGCGAGGTTGAGTGTTCAGCGACGCCATTTGTGCGAATTTGTGGGTTCCAGCGGGTTTTTACTTCCTCTTAATTTCGACGAAGTTCGAAGGTGAGTTGAGGTTACTGTAGAAAGGTTTACATGAAATACGAATGTACCTCTTTCAAAAATTACTATAACCTAATTTCTTTCTTTTCAGACGTGTTTCACTTCTGTTTATCAGCCTTTGCAATAAACGTTTCTGAGATTTGTATACAAAGGTGAGTGAAGGTTACTATAGAAAAATTTACATAAAAAACGAATGTACCTGTTTCAAACATGTCTATAACCTAATTTTTTTTCTTTTCAGACGTGTTTCAGTTCTGTTTATTAGCCTATACCATAAATGTTTCTGAGATTTTTACACACAGGTGAGTTGAGGGTTTGATTTACATCAAATTAATATGAAATACCAATTTATCTTATATCATTTAATTATTATATATTATGTATTCGTCTACAGTATGTCGTGGCATCCAGATTCTGTAATGCAATTAATAGAGTTGGTGAAGGGCTACCCAATTCTGTATGATTCATCCGAAGTCAACTATAAAAATAAAGTAGAAAGGGTGAAGCTATTAAATTGTATTGCAGATAATATGTTCACACTGCGGTGAGTACATATAATACCTCTGACAAGTAGAGTATACAATTATCTTGTATTGCAAAACATGTACAATAAGTAATTATCGTGCTTTTCAGACCTGGTACCACTGCTGACGATGTGCGGAAAAAGTGGAACACAATACGGTGCACATACACCAATGAGAAAAAAAGTGGAGGACAGCAGGAGTCAGGTGTTGGCTCATGTGAGGTGTATCAACCCTCACTCTATTATTACAAAGACTTGATGTTTCTAGACCCAGTGATTAAGGTGAGAGACTCAAAGTCTTCACTAGAAATTGAAGAAGATTATGGTGCAACTGAAACTCTGGTGATTGATTCAATTGATGTGGATGTTAGAGATAATTTTTTCTCATTTGCCACAATGAATGTGGAGTCAGGGTACAGCAACAGTGATGCATCGCAGCTGGGCTGCAGCAACTCTGTTGAGACACCGCAACGCCGCAATTCTTCAGGGTTGCGGAAGAAGAATAAGAGAAGAAGAGATGATGATGATGCTGTGACTATGGCTTTGCAGAACGCAACATCTGCATTGCAGAGACTAGAATCAGTGCAAGATGACAATGCTATGATTTACTGTAGGCATCTGGCAACAAGGGTTACGTGAACTAACAAATGAGGAGCTTTTTCGAGCTAGTCACGCAATAGAAAACATTCTCTATGATATTCTAACAAGTAGAAAGTGACCAATAAAGTATGTGAACTTTTAATTTTGTCTGCAATATTGGGCTAATGTATAACTCATTCTCTATGCTACCTCTGTTCTTCTCTGACCAGGATCAACTTGTCAACGACAACTACAATTATATTTTGAAGCAGGTAATGTGAGCTCACAGAGGAGTGTGTTGAAGCCCAATATGAAACACCTTTTTCACAATATAATAAAATTTTATTAACTTTTTGAATTTTCTATAAAATATTGGGTTAATTCATTTCTCATCCTCTGTGCTGCCACTGTACTTCTCTGCTCAGGGTCAGTTGCTACAGATGCAACTGATAGCAACTTGTCACCTGCAACAGAAAGAAACCATTATTTTCAAGCAATATCTTCTACTTATAAGTACTTATGTACTCCAAAGAATTCTCATTTGCACCTGATGTATCAGTGTAGTTAGATTTGCTTTTGAATGCCAAAAGATTATGAAGGCCAACTGTTGCCAGTACCAAATTATCAATTTTCTGGGCATCCAAATTTATAGGTGACAATAGCACTCTGAATCTGTTGGCCAGTATCCCAAGCTTCAGGCAAGTGCCAAGTTTCTGGCAGGAAATGGTTTCATTAAGTGCTTAGACAATGCAAACGCATCGTCAGCAACAAAATGGTATGGCACATTAACACCGGTACACAATGTACCACATGGAGGGATTTGTAATTTCTCCATATTTTTGTAAAACGAAGTGTGCCTCCAGACTCCTCTATCACTCACTCGGCCGTTCACTCCTACATCCACGTACAAAAATTTATATTCTTCATCCACTACTGTCAGGAGAACAATGAAATGCGCTCCCTTGTAGTTGAAATAGTATGATCCCGCAGATCTTGGTGCTCTAAAGAAAATGTGCTTGCCATCAATAGCACCAATGCACATCGGATAGTCCCAGAACTCTTCAAACTTTTGTGATATATTCAACCACTCCGCTTGAGT